GGATAACAACAGCAGGGATGATGCTGGGACAAGGGCTTTGGCATGGGGTTAGAGCTCGCTCTGTGCCTGCTCATGCAGCTGTTCCACATCTGAGTGCAGAGCTAGGGGTAGAGCAAACCTACATGTGTAAATGTATATGTGGGTGCTCCAAAGCCAACCTCGATGTGCTTGTGCTGTCTACCGAGCACAGAAATAATCTTTGGCATATGTGGGCATTTGAGTCTGAGCATATGAAACATGCCTTCTGCCTCCTCCATCCTGCCCTAGAGGCTTCTCTGTGCGCTGGGTTTCTGGGGACCTGCAGATTTTCCCTCGCAGCATTCCTGATAGCCTAGAATATGGATGGAAACTTCCACCCCCTGTGTCTGGTCCAATTTAAGAGCATAGTAATTTCATCTTTAATACCTAGACATAGGTCTGAACAGGTCTCTGGGTGTGAGAAATTCTTCTCACATAGCCCAGAATGTAGCTGCAAATAACTTATTAACAAGGCAGCCTTAGGTGCTTTTAAGACTGACGCTTTCCTGCTCTGCTGTTCAGGTTTTCTCTTTGATCCTACCTATTAACACTCTGTATTTAGACGTTGCTGTGACACTGAAGGCGAGGGACTTTCTGCGCAAATAACGGTCTCTGCAGCACTTGCAGACTGCGGCTCGTCTGCTGAGCCTGGCAGCAGGGTTTTTCTCCCTGTCGCTTTTTGAATGAGAACCATTGGCATGTGTAATGTGTTTTGCAGCACTTGACTCCTGATCCTTTGTGCAGGACACCCACGTTGCATGTGCTTTCTTGGAGTCCTGTACTGTTTCCAGCAATGGAACTGTCCTAAAGCCTTCAGATACATTTCTCCTGTCTTGGATCTGCTGTCTTGGAAAGATGAATTTTTACTGTTTTCTTGTTTCCTTCCTCCAATCCTATAGTTTGCAATCTCATGAGATTTAGCTAAGAAATCTTTCATTTCAGATGCCACCTATTGCCATCCCATTGGAAAACTTGACTGTGGCAGAGGCCTTAAATCAAAAGCCTGTGTGACAGTTTCTGATCTTTGAGCACCTTTAGAGGCTGTCACAAAAACATTCATACCTAGTTAGACTAAAGTTTTTGGTATGGGTTGAGGTATTTGTCAAGTGGAGCCGTGCAAAAGATTAAAGCAGTATCTGCCAGTGAAAATACTGTATTTTGGCTTATGTAATTCTAAAGGGGTTTTTTCGTGTTTTGTTTTTCAAGGAAACTGTAGGTGCCTTCAGCGTTATATCTAAAAAGTGAATTATACGCTGCAGAAAGTATTTAATTCTATATTTAACAGCTCTTCTTTGAACAACAAAAACCATAAACTTGTTGCCAGGACTTGAACTGAACTCATGGTGGTTCCTAGTTGTTAATGATATTTTACAGTGACAGCCCTGTTCTACTTGCAAGGTTAATAAAAATAGTAGCTCACTTAATGTCTGAGGTTGCACTGAAATGTACTGATATCTGAATATGGTACTCCCCATCCTGCATTGCCATGGTGTGTGCATATAGGAGGTGTGTGCAAAATGTGACAGCAGGACTGTTGCTTTAATGATAATGGCACAAAAACAGTGAATATATTGTGCAGGGCTTCCCTGGGCAGTGGACCTGCAAGCACAGAAGAATAAACTTGCTGTGCCTTGCACAGCAGAGATGGGCAACAAAAAGGCATGGCTAAGTCTTGATATACTTTAATGGAACTGGATAAAAACCCCATTCTTTAAAAAGTGGAAATTCCCATTTGTTCCACAGTATGAGAGATCTGGGACCATTCTTGTTCTAATGAAGTTGTTCTGTGAAGAAAAAAAAAAAATGTTTGTTTTCGGAACATATCTGCATTTTATATGCTTAAATATAAGTGCCTAACTGGTTTAACCATTAACCAGGAATTTGTGTAGTTCTCAGGATGGCAGGTCAGTCAAATGACCTGCTCTGCCTCCCTCAGCATTTTCTAATGCATTCGATTGCAGGTTATACAGACAAAGATGTATCCTGTAGCCTATGTGATTTCTACAAGTGATGCTGTAGGCCACACCTGCAGGGCTCATAACAGAAGGGGAATATAAATTTCTCTGTCTTTGACAACATTAATTCCCTTTGGATGATGCTAAACCTTTCCTGCTTACGGGTAACTCCTGCATAGCTTCTAATGATGCTCCTGAAGGAGGAATGCTTTGACTCAAAGAAACATCAGTTTGTACTAAATCTGAGGGAATTCAAAGTGCTTCATGAAGAAGCCCCATTCTTCCAAGCTACCAATGTTTTAGCCCACACTCACAAATCAATCTGTACATACGAGTCTGGGGAAGAATGAGGGTTAAGCAGGAAATCTGGGTTGTGGGCAGTGAATATTCAGAGATGAGATCTTGAAATGGGATTTGAGATAGTGCAGCTTGCTTGAGCACGGAAGACAAAGGGCTTTTCGGCATCATGGTGTGATGTGGAAGGTGGGCTAAATGGTCATAGAATCATAGAATGGTTTGGGTTGGAAGGGACCTTAAAGATCACCTAGTTCCAACCCCCCTGCCATGGGCAGGGCCACCTCACTGAAGAAAGTCTGGTGCTTCAAAAACTGATTGTAATCAGATGCTGGTACTGTGGTAGTGCCCTAGTGCTGGTGTTCCTGGCCTGGAGGTGGTCCTGCCATCCTGGTTGTTCTAGGGATGTGAGCTCAGAGGCAGCACAGAGGTCTGCAATGAACTTCGGCAGCCTGGACATAGCTTTTGTGTTGACATTTTCTGCAGATAGTTGTGAAATGACCCTTTTTATCTGTAAGCATAAAAAGGTAAATGGCTTCAGTTAAAACCAGCTGGTGTTAGGCTTGGAAAATGGGCAGTAGAACAGAGATCAGAAGGGAATAAGGCAACCAGAGGGAAACTAAATGGTAGATGGATCTCTATAGGATGTTTGCTCTAATTTCTGCAGTCCCCAGGCATGACATATGATTTGCTTCTCAATTCTGTTTCAATTCCAGTAGTAAACAGTAAGGTCAGAGAAGATGTGCCTGGGATCTCTGTGCTCAGCCTGCCTGGTCAATGCCATTTTGACAGTTAAGTTTCTGCTGGGAAAGTTTAAGCCCTTTTATTAAGTGCAGTATATCTAGTCAGTGAGCATACATCCAAATCCAGCCTTCCTCTACACTCTACTGAGAAGAGATCAGATGGTGGAAACCCATGTTCCTCTGTTGTCTAAAATATTCTGGACTGAAACAGGAAAGGTTCTGCCAGCCTCAGCTGCTAACCTACCTGGCAGATTGAGATCTGATCCAAACAGAGTCACTAAAAACCAGTTGGCTTTGAGATTTCTGCTACTTGGAGTATTTTCTTTCTTGAAATGCACTGATACTTAGCTCTTTGGATGTGCTCATGGATGTGACCATGTCCCTCTGTGGTGACCAGGCTCCCTGAGATGTTTTGTCCTTATCTTCTACAGCTGACTTACTCCTGTGCACCTATAGAGTCACTTAAACATCAGAGTTTTTCAGTGGCAAAGAAGTGGTGATTGGGAATTACCCGTAGAGGATAGTGACACTGAGGGCATGGGGACATGCTGACTAAAAGACTCTTGGTCTTGAGAGTGGGAGGTGCTATTTTGGCAGCAAGGATTATACGAGGACAATACAGTCAGAGGGGTGGTTACTCCAACAGTTGCTTTTTCTTTCTCATGGTAGAGGTAACAAAGAGGAACAACTGTGAAGTGTGAGAGTAACACTCCTGTTTTACAACTGTGTTTTGAATAGGTGGGATAGCAACATTTCTCCTTAAGCAGGCTGCTAGTTTTAGAGCTGTTACGCGATTATAGAAGAATGAAGAGCTGGTGACACTTCAGATAGGTGAAGAGGAGAAGAAAGGAAAGTGCCCAAATGGCAAACATCTGTCTTTCTGACTATCTCTGCCTGTCTGTGCTTGCAATCTTGATAGCTGGGCTCAGGGAATAATATTTAACACAGCTGCTAACAAAGTACAAACAAGTATTTCTCACAGCACTCCTTTTGAGACAACAATTATTGCCCCAAATCACAAATATTGGAGCTACAGGAGAGAAATAAAAATCATTTAGGTAGCTGAATCAATGTCTGAGCTGGGACCAGCATCTTGGCTTTTCAAACTCCTTTTTTGGCTCTCTAGTCGCTTAGGATGGTAAGGAATAAACCAGGAAGGCGTACCTGCAACAACATGCAGTTTCACCGATTGCTTCCAAGGCAATCATGCCCTACGGCCCAGGCACAAAAAATAAACAACCAACCTCCACAACCACCTCACCAGCAAATCCCCAAACAAAGAAAGATGGGTGTTTTTTTCCCCCTCTGTAACCGCACCGGCGCTCACTTTCTCTCCCCGCGTACCTGCCCAGCTGACAGCCGAGCGCCGCGCCGTGCCCCCGCGGTGATTGCTCAGCGGGGAGCCATGGCAGCGGTGCAGCCCGCTGATGCGCAGCGATACGGCTGCGGAGCGCACAGCCGGAGCACATCACAAATCTAAACCCCCCGCCGGGGCGCCCCTTGCCCGCACCTGTGCCCGGCCCGCC